GACCCAAACACCTATCCGCCATGTTTGGGTCTAACATATATGGTCTCACCAAAATACTTTACCATCATCGTTGGGTCTAACCTATGGTCTTACCAAACACCTTATCATGAAACCTAACCATCGGCTTTGGATGTAACCTATGGTTTCACCAAAGACCTAACCCAAAACCTAACCAGTCATAAAAACCCTGACTGTCATATTTCACCTACCCCTACTTATGTTTGTAGGTGTTGTTTTCCAAGAAAATGGTCTGGTGCGTATTTCTGTCGTAATTCATGATAACAAGTACATATTAGTGTAAAATGAATATCATTTTCTATCCCTACGTTACATAAAGCACAATATCAACTGTCTTTCTCCACATCGGTTCCTCTACCCTCAAAACTGTTTAGCGGGGAGTTAAGCGATACAATTCATTCGCTATTACTGGCATAATATTACCTCTTATTAACTATGATGTATGGACAAACCATGTCAAGTTTACATTTGACAGGGAGTAATCTAAACTGTTGCAATGTTTGTTGTTTTTTTTCAAGAAAACCCCGAACCTAACGTTAAAATGCAACTAAGACAATCCATATATTGAGATTTTTATTCCACTAGTGAACGATATTATACTAAAATCTCTTGCAAACGAGTTTATCTGCACGGATATGTCCACACTTTATCCCTTCATTCAGTTTGAATGTCTTAATAACCCGACCATGTTGTCACTGGGTTTAGGTGAATGTCTTCACTGAATTACACCAATGCACATTTCAGTAGTGGATTATATCATACTAAAAAACACTCATGCGGCTGTTATAAACATTTAACACAATTTGAAGCGCATGTTGTAAGGTCCCTGTGCATCAATGCTCAACGTGAAAAGTTCTGACACATGTCCACTCACAACAGCATCTGAAGATCAACACCTTTTTTCTGACTTGACACTTGCTGGTGTGCGTCAGACGCCTCATATATGTGTCTTTTAACACTGTCTTACAGTAGACGCATTCAAAGGTACCATCATACTGTCTTGTTCCATTAAAGTATACCGGCAAACCACCTTCACGACGCTGGCCCCGTCTTCTTTCTTCTCCTCCTTGGCAATTGGTTAGGCCACAAGTTGACCTAACATTAACAACATTTAAAAAAGCAGAAACTAACGAATTACAATATAAACAAGAATATAATCAATTAAAAAGTAAATATAATGCATATAAATCCTTATTTACAGATGGGTCGAAGGATGGTGGCGCAGTGGCCTGTGCCACTGTCATTGGATCTATAAAACAATCTCTTCTCGTTTACCAGATAACAGCTCTATTTTTACAGCAGAAGCAAACACCATATTAACAGCCTTAAAATATATTAAAAAACACCCTAAATATCAACAATATATAATCTTTTCTGACTCACTTTCATGTCTTCAAGCTATCAAGCTCTGGGAGTGTATGCTAAAGATACTTTGCCTGTACTCAAATCTTCTATGATAAGAAGAGGGGTTGGACTTATTGTAAATACAGACTTCAGTCAAAAGAAAGGCCGTCACTGGGTTGCTATGTATTTCAAAGGAAATAGAGCAGAACTGTTTGATAGTTTAGCTGAACCGATTGATGCTGTATTTGATAGTTATCTAACGTCTTATGTTCAATCATACTTGCACAATGGTGAACGGATACTATCTGTAGATTCAAATGTATGTGGACTGTATTGCTTGTATTATTTGTTATGTAAATTTAAAGCAAAGTGGAGTTTTCACCATTTTTTCCACCAGTTTGATGTTAAACACTTCATCTGGAATGACAATTTTATATCACAATATGTTTGTCAGTACTTCAAATATTGTACTCCTTCCTGTTTTACTTGTGAATAATGAAATTCATGTATGATATTTAACATGTGAAAATAATTTCAAAATAGAAAAATAGAATAAAAATAGTTTAGACTAAAGTATTATTGTTTGTTGTTCATAAATACTTGCGCTATTAGTGATTTAACTCCGTTGTGTACTGAGCACAAAACCAAGATACATCATGGAAGAAGAAAATACTTGTCCGTTGCCTTTCAAAACGCCTACGACCATATGGGTGGTAGGTGGATCCTCTAGTGGTAAAACCGTTTGGACTGCCCGTCTCATAAAACAAGCCAACACCATGTTTGATCCACCACCGAACTTGATTGTGTATTGTTATGTCGTGTGGCAAGAAATTTTCTCAGACTTGGAGAGAACAGTTTTAATTATTCGCTTTCAAAACAGTCTACCTACAGAAGAAGAACTGAAATCAAATTCTTTGGAATCGGATCAACGATGTTTGATTATTTTTGATGATTTTATGCAAGACATTTGTAAAAGTCCAGTGTATTTAGATCTGTATACCATGCTCTCGCATCATTTAGGATTGACAGCATAAATCTAATGCAAAGTATCTATCCAAGAGGTGAATATGCAAGAACCCAGTCAATAAATACACATTATTTTGTGTTATTGTCCAACCCTCCAATAAAATTTTAGCATCACAGATATTTCCAGCACAGAGTAAATATTTTACCGTATAATTTCATGATGCTGTAAGTGGTAAAAAATTTGGGTATCTTGTTGTAGATACCCAGGAATATTCCCTGATGAGATGTGTACTGTGTACCTGCCACAGTCTTAACCCTATGAATACAGTAAATACAACCATAACACATCATTTCACTTGCATCCCTTCAACCTGAACACAGAGGTATGGATACTTGTGGACGGTTTGGTGATTTTGTTGCGGAGGCAGATTGTGTTGCTGTAACATATACTTCTATTTATGGAGAAAAATACAGCGACAGACTAAGATCTGTCAACAGTTGGCCCATTCAACTGAAACAGTCACCAAAATCAATGGCTGAAGCTGGATTTATTTACACGGGGAAGTCTGATAAAGTCTACTGTTTTAAGTGTAAACTTTGTGCCTCTCAATGGATAGTTGAAGATGATCCACTGTCAGAACATTTTAAATTGTCTCCTCACTGTGACTATATCAATATGAAAGCAGCATCAAAGGTAACCAAGGAAGCATAGATGATGAGATAAAAAAACCTGCTCCAACAGTAACCCTATCATTTTAAAGCGGAACAGCTACCCTAAAGCATCAACATGAGTGGACTACTAGAAAAACATGTCACTTTCTTATCGGTGTTAGCACAAGCTAATCCTGCACAGAGAAAAGCTATGCTGACTCATACTTCATCTGAACAGTTCATGTCAATTATTACACTAGTGTATAATATTCTTGTTGGAAACATACAGCTAACAGAAGACGATAAAAGCCGTCTGTCACGACACAAGAATGCCATTCGAATCTTAGCCAGTAAGAGTGTCAGCAGACGCAGGAAACGTGAGCTCATCGTTGCATACCATTCAATTTTACCTATTTGCATAAGGAACTACCAAGCCTACTTGACCTCAGTACAAAATGAGCAAGCCTATGGTTCTTCTGGCGAGAGAGAATTATCAGAGATGATGTCCAAACAAGAAGAACAGACAGCTCAACAGACAGTTCATCAGACAGCTCAATCACAGAAAGCGAATGAGATAGACGATGACAATTCACAACGGATAGCTAACTCAGTACAACCAGCTGATAATCCTGTATGCAAGAAAAAGACTGAACTCCTGTTTCAAGTTCCTGACCAGTTAATCAAGGACATTTCTTCTACCAAGACTATTGGAAAATTGATGTCAATGTGGCTATTTGTGAAAAACAACATTGAAAAAGGACAATTAAACGTAGATAAGAATTTACAACTTGTGGTAAACAATAATAATGTACTGCAAAACTCAAACATAGTGAACTTGATTCGTTTTTTTATCTTGTCACCACGAAGTAGACGTTCACCAGTGGGCTATAAGCAGCTTCTTAAACTATTAAAACGTTTACATATGCCCAAACATCTCATGAAAAGTGTTCAAAGAAAAAAGAAAGACCAAACAAAGTCACATAGAAATGCTTTATTTATGAAACGTAAAGCTACTGAAGGTGTTCCTGGGATGAGTAAATCGAAAACATTAGAATCATTTTATTGAAATGATGTTGATGCTCAAACTGTGTGTACATTGAGTCAATAAACAATGTGTCCACAATTATTTTCATGTTTGTTCTCTTTGTAGTCTTAAAGTAGTCACACATAGTGTTCAACAAGCTTGTTCTTGCAGCGGAACAAAATGGCACAATCCGCTGGAAAAATGTCTTGAGGAGAAAGTCAGTTCTGCACAAGTTTGACTTCAGTTAGTCATAATAAATCTTGTGACGACAAGTGCAGGCGCGTATTGTCTTCAGTTTCTTCCTGACGACACATTTGCCAGTGTGTGTCAGAAACCTGTGATATGTATATTTGAGCTTCACACCGCAATAGACACATGTGAAGAGTCCCGAACTGTCTTCCCCATTTGCATCCACTGGCAGAAACCCATAACAGCTTGTACAGATGTAGGATGGTTGGCTCATTCTGTAAAATAAATCAAACACACATAGTAACAGCGAATACAAACATAATGACATGAACATACATTCTAAATTTCAAAACGCAAAAACAGAACCCAAATACACTTAAACCAAATTATCATAATAATCATGTAGCTTACCTTTAGGGTTTGTGAAATTTCGCTGAAGATTTTCTTGCAGATGTTGTAACTATTCAGTTGATGAATAACCATAAGGTACACTATGAATGCCAACCTCTAGTACATAACGCTTGTTGTCTATGGAGGTCAGAGCCACTTTGTTTTGTTTCTGTGTGTACAAGACGTTATTGAAAGAGCGAATCAGATGAAAAGAACATGACACAGCCCTTTTGTCAAAAAGACACTCTGTAAACATCTTATGTCTGAGAAATTTCTTGATGACTGTTTTTGTAATACCTTTGGCTGTTTTTTTCTCAATAAGTTCCTTATCTGTTTTCATCAAAAACGAATACATTTTACTTTTTAGTCCACAGAATTCAAGTACGATGTTTCCACCTGCTTCATCCTTCATCTTGCCTGTCACCTTCCTGTTTTGATCTGAATAAAGCCCCTTTGAGTCATTGGGTGCATAATTGGAAGTGTCAAATAAAAGGAGATTTTGTTTTATAAACACATAGGGGTCCAGGAGAGGTTCACGTGGAGGGGCATGGACTTGCATAAAGAGGCTCTCAGTGTCTGTCATGAGTAAATCTAAATGTTCATGTCCATACTGCTTTTGCATCACATTGTAGTAAAAGTCATAAATTTCATATTTGGCCAAATCCAAAATGCTAAAACCAACAGCGATGGGCTGATCTAAATGAACACTTGTCTTTTCCATTTCAACGGTGACCACCTCTTCTGAATAAATTTTAACCTGTTTGAAATTGTTTTTTGAGGCCAGTTTTTGAAGTTTGGGTCTTTGTGTTACCAAGTGCACTGTTTTGTGTTTGCGTTTATTCATACAGAAACGACCAAACACACAGTTGTTCATCAATTTGTAACGGTCTTTGTCACAATCATCCTTTGCATTTTTGCGATTTTTCAAGTTGAGTTCCACATAGGACTTTAACCATGGACCCTGACTAAACTTCAGCACTCTGTGTATGTGATTCAACACTAAACCATGTTTCAAATACAACTGCAAGGTTTTAAAATGAACCACATAATGTGAACGATCTTTCAAGGTACAAAAAAGTTTTCTACCAGATGATTTCTTTGGAAGTTTATCTATGGGACGATTGTTAAAATGAGCCAGAAGCTGTTTGTGTGTAGGAGATAACTCCTCAAATGGGATATCATCATGCGTTGGAGCCATAGGGAAAGCAGCATGAGCTTGGTGCAAATGACTGGGGTATAACAAATCAACTTCCAAGATGTACCCATACTCTCCCCCTACCTCGATGCTTGTCCAGTCTATGGTGTTGAACTCTGCAGGTTCAATGAAATGATAATTTCCTATAGGTAGCGGCTGTAACATGACAGTAGCATACACTGAGTTCACATCAAAGTAGAGTGGACGAGTCTTTCTCTGGATCAAAATCAGTCATATGTTCATTGTTGCTTTCGGCATACTTTTTACCAATGACAGACACGCCACCGCGAATAGAATGTTCAATAAAATTGTAAGTGTCTACATCTGTAAACAGATCCAATTTAGCGCCTGTGATTTTCATAGCAGCATCCAAACAGAAACCAGGCATGGAATAGTAGTGGCAAATGTCAAGTCCATAGTCGGCTAAACAACCAGTTCTAAAGGTTTCAATAACATCGGTTAACAGCAACACATCTACTGTCACATACAATCTCATGAAGTCGCTCATGGATTGACATTGAAATGTTTGCCATAATTGATGGGCAAATGCATAGTCATCCTCACTAACACCCTGCTGAGTCAATGAACTGTAGAATGCTTCCTTTGAAGGCAAACATGTCTCATTTAACGTTTCCCAGGAATCCATATGTTCTAACACTAATCTATGGTCCACCGTGAAGGACAGAAATTGCTCAGTGGTATGAGGTATTACTGTGATCTCACGGTCGCCAAAATGTTGTGCCACTTCTAACAAAAGATGAGCATCATAATGTTCTAGATTGTGAAACATCACAATCACCTTCTTGCTTAACTGAAAATTTAAGTTACATTTGTTATGCAAAACTTGACGGAATTTCCCCGACAAGTGGTCATGATCCAATACTCTATCTGTTCCTAAGAGCTTTCCACACAATCCATAATGTTCTGTATTAGCTATGACAATTTTGTCTTGGTCAGTGAGTTGCATGGGTATGATGGAATCAAACAGGTTCATGATGTCGTCATATTCTTTCAAAATGCTGTCAATGAAATGTTCTGCTGCTTTTTCGCCTATATAGGTTTGAATGGGTTTGGAATATTGTTCATCGGTACACACCACCTTGTAGGCATAGCCACAAGGGACATGACGGTTTAAACGTGAAGAACCATCATCTTCAGCCACTAACAAGCTTTCAAAATCAGCTACAATTAAAAACTTGGCTCTTTCAGTTTTGCTTTGGGATCTTAAACCGAATTGATACACTGCTTCCTCTGGATTAGGTAACATGACTCTTTGTGCTTTCTCATAACAATAGTCTTTGTGAGCTTCCAACCTTTCCTGAGATGAGTAAGACCACAAGCATTTTCTACAAACAAAACACATGTTTGTGTTAATGAGACAATAATGTGTGTTGGGTATCTTGTCTACATCCATGGCGACCTCATGATCTTCTAACCCCAAGACTCCTTCAAAATCATCTGGATGACTTTCTTGCGACAATAACAATAAATCTACTTGCCTATTTTCCTCCACGTTCGACTCATTACTGATGTACATAGGGTACAAGGTACCATCTTCAAATCCGTACACATTGATGCTCAACTGGTTAAGCTGATCAAAACGAGGAATTTGTTTCAATGTCATAGGAAAAGAAAACCCTTCTAAATTGAGCCTATTCAAATAGGGGAGGTTATGTGTTTCTCTTTCCTTGTTTGATGAGACTGGGTACAGTTTGGCAAGAATGAAGATAGCAAAACATAAATCATTGTCTTTGTTTTGAATATTTAAAATACAGTGTGCATGTTTAGCCAGAGCTGGAGGTAGTGGCATGTAACTACCACCGTTCAATGGAGTGAACTTCACCACAGTGAGTTTCAAAAGGACAATGACAGAAACATTTAATCCTGAATGAACTCCTTCATAATCATCTAGTGTTTGGAGCATTTTTCGCACGGCTTCCAAATATTGTTCAATCAAATCACTCCCCTCCACAGCTATCTGCATGCTGCTTCTAAAGTAGGTTTCATGATAATCTGAATGACCATCTTCGCTTGGCTTCTCCATTTTGATGTGCAAACATAAACCCCATTTAATAGTTTTTTTCTCACCTATTTCTGATTCAAGGGCGAAAGATTTTTAATTTAAGGAGATTTCTAAAAATATGTACCTAGGATCTTTAATTAAATAGAAATAATACGATAAAACCGAAAGATGATTTTAAAACATACTTACGGCTTTCGCCTTGTTGGCATCTACCCCACAATGGGGGCATCTCCCTGATGCCGGTGTTGTTCTGTAAAAAAAACAAATATATAAACTATAAAATCCCAGAAAACCCAAAATTCGAAGAGTTATAATATATATGAAATAATGTGATTAATTTTATATAGATAGGCAAAAGGTGTATTCAATACTTTTACGTTATACACTAGTAAATATAATGTACAAAGACTTACTTCGTAGCGGGGCGGCGCTTCTCCCTGAAATTCGAAACGGTAAAGATTATTAGAAACGTACTCGTATATTATCGTTGTTTGAAGAATAATTTTGTCGTTTACAAATGTAACGATAAGGGTGAAAATGTACTTACCACTCGATAGTGTTAACTATCAGGGGGGAGTGAAAAGATAACTTTAACGGCCGGAGCCCCTCCCTCCGTCTTTTCGGAGTTGTTGTGCTATAAGGAGAAAACGAAACCATGTAATAAAAAACATCTTAAGAAGAAAGCAAAGTTAGTTGAGTTGAGTTGAGTTGAGCTTTACGTCACATCGGCATTTTTCCAGCCATATAGTGACGAGAACAAGTTTGCATTAGTAAATATTGTAAGTACATACTCGGAATGAGTTTTATTTCAAAGACATTTATTTATTGCATTGTCATTCGAAAGCAGAACAAATCATAGCATCAAATTTATAGGCAGGCGGTTTGTTACATTTCATAGTTACAATTTATGGTTGTTACATTTCACAGTTACAGTTTATGATACAGATCAACTTCCCTCAGGTAGTTCAGTATCAGATGGGCGCTCACGCGTGAGAACAGATCTTTTAGGTTTGTTGCATCATAATGTGAGTCCCTTGCAGGCGATAAGTCCACGCATTCAAGCAGAATATGCTTGACGGTGAACACCTCATCGCAAGAGACACATGGGGGGTCCATCCCCATCCGTTTTCAGCAGATAGTCATGTGTAAATCGACTGTGGCCAATACGACATCGTCGTAAAATTACCTCATCGCGTCTTGACTGACAACCCAAGTAGGTATAACCGATTGTTGGCTTCAATTCATGGAGTTTGTTTCTTCCTACTTGAGTGTCCCACCTTTTTTGCATCAGGTCCCGAGTATAGCTTTTGATAGTGGGTTTGAAATATACACATTTCATTTTTTAACTGTCATCACGAATGTAAGAACCATATTCGTAATAGTACCTACCCCTTTAAATAAAATTCAGGAAGGGGCGGAAAAAGTATTTGTCCGTACATTTTAACAGAATTTAGACAAAGAAAACGTTAACGATTGGCTCCGTTATCCAAGAGCTCTAAGACGATTGGATAACTTTTTCAAGTTATCTGAAAAGATAGTCTGTTTCTTGCATAATTTTTACCATAACTTCGTACTAGGTCGTGACATCCTAAAAAGAAAGTCTAGACGCTTATGGAAATCCCGTATCTCTGAGGCTCCATTTTTCAATATTGAATAATAAAAACCCTTTATAAGTCGATTTAGTATCTGGATAAATATAGTGAATGAATGACAAGAATGATTAATATTATCGTGTTATCAATATAATATGATAAGTATTTTTTGTAGGAACGGAGATAGCTTTTTTTTTTACTAAACGGATGTTAGTAAGAATAGGACTTGACAACTTGAATGTTTCAGATGCTGACTGTTTGTTGATATGCGATTGTCTGATATGGTTCCTAAATCTAATTTAAAAAGTGTTTAACAATGAAGGAATCTAAACTTTGTATCGTTTGATAAAAACCTACTTGTTGATATGGTAAATTCCACTCAAAACGTGATGTAAACAAAGCATATTCTCTCTGATTGGCTGATTATAACTACTCCTAACATTGAAGTAGAACTCGCTTTTTTTCTTTTATCACTGATAGCGGGCTGTGAGGAGTTCTGTAAACCAATTTGTTATCCAATCTCAATCTATGAAACAATTAAGGCTGAACACAGCAGAAGAACTTGATTTTGTTAAAGAGGCGGTTGTTCTTGGAACGATTTTGTCCGGCGAAGATCATATGGGTTGTATTCTCAAGGGCCTCTGTGTACTTGGTGTTGAGGAGGACATCATATTCGCTTGGTAGTGCTTCTTTTTTTCACACTAAGGCTGAGCAGAACTTTCCACACATCTTCATCATGGACTTTAATGGATTCATAAGAGATGATCTCGAGCAAAAGGTTCTTGGGTAGGTCACTCACTTTACATCTAGTTGTATTTTGACGCATAATTCCATCTGCGTCAAGGGTTTTCATAAGTTCGTCTCTGGAAACACTGGTGACTGTGGGTTTAAAACGTTTCGTGTCTTCTGTCTTACCAGCAACTTCGGAAGAACGCTTGAAAGAGTCGGTCATAGTTGTTGGAGATACTTGTTGGAGTAACTTCCAAAGAGTGTAGATATGCGCTAGAGATCGTGCAAACATAGCACGTTGAATGTTTTGAGCTTTCTTTTATACTGTTTTCGTTGTGCGTCACTAATAAAAAAAAAGTGTTGTTCATGTGGTCACGATGTCGAGGACACATCCATGTTGACACAATGGATGACGTCAGAGAACATATCCGGTTGAGCTAATTTTTTTCTTTTTACTCTGGTGGTGATGAAAGCGACTTGATTTTAGGGTTAGGAAGAAGATACCCCAGACTGCTACCTAACAATGTCGTCCAGAGATTTGTATTTCCTTTATTCAAAGATAAGTTCACAATTTCAAGTAATCACAACGATATAGATGATAAAGATTTGAGAAAAAAATACATTTTCTGTCTTTGCAACTCTTCTGCCAAATAGTCTCCAGGACTCTATAGACCTAGTCCTTTCGATAGGTTGTGCCGGTGGAGTCTACTAATGCCTACAGTGAATAATGCCTACAGTATTAAATAAACAACTTTACGCACCAGTGCTGCTGATCGCACCTGCCTTCAACCTTTCAATAAAGTGGCATGGTCCTATTTCAAAGTGCACTAATGCCTACAGTATATAGAAAACAGTAACTTTCTATGTTGAGAGACATTTTATTTGGTCATTCATATACATATGTACATTCATATACATATCTTTCACATTGTTGTCATATTTTTCTTAATTTTCTTAAACGTTATTCATATCTTTCACATAGTAGTTTGTTTTGAGATAAATAAATTTACATAAATAAACATAATCATGTATTTGGATTAAAATGTAATTAAAACTTAATTTGATTCATGATTATATATACATATATACATCTTTCACACAGTCAACTACCACATTCATTAATAAAGTCATTGTGGTAACCAAAAGTAATTTACATGTATACACACAGTTTCACACGTTCATCAACATAGTCATTTGGTTTTCAAGCTAGCTTGATCAAATATCCTGCAGCAGTCAGGAATTCCAGGGGTGTCTTGATACCAGATGTCAGCTGGGCCTTCACCCAGGGTTGGTCATTCTTGGTCCTTTGTCCTTGCCCCCCCTTCGCATCTGGTCAGTGATGAGTCAGCCGTCTTCGCTCTCCCCCTTTATCCCTATTAGGCCTTTAATCATTATATCTGGACAAAGAAATGAATGGCCAAAATGCACTTTGCTCGATGTGTTATTTGATATGTGGGATGACTTGGCCAAAGTGTCCTTTGTTCAGTGTACTGCTGATCAGGGGCTATTGTTTGATCCCCTGTCCAGTACTATATTTAGGGGACAGCACGTGTGCCTGATTAGCGTGGGGCGGCTGCTCATGTATTAGTGACCTCCCTCCCGCTGTCACTCCTATGAGTATTGCGAAGAGATAATGGCATCTCACTGACCAGTGATAGTGTTCAATTTCTTAATTTGCTTAATGAGAGGGGGCCAGCTGGTCTTCTGATATTCTACCCTGGATATACTTCCCCGTCGTATCGTAAGGACGTGACCTCACGTCCTTACGTGGAGAATGCGACCAATGACCGTGACCAACCCTGAGGTACAATTATGTTACATATGAATGGACATTACAATGTCAATGCAGTACAGTATTGACATGTGAGTTACAAACGTACATTTGGTGCCATTATCTATCACATTTAGTTTTATGAAGTGATTGACATAATGGGAAAACAATGAAATAGTGGTGTTATCAAATGGACATACATGGAAGTTATGATATAGCCCAGTTACGCAGTGAATTTAAATGAACGACATGGTAGATAAAATCAATTAGTGTCATTATAAACATGTACATAAATGGAAGTTAGGATATAATGTGGACCCGTATTTGTCATTTTTCAAACTAATAACATATATACAGAGTTACAATTATATTTCACTACGATATAATGCGACCTAACAGAAATATGGTGGTGTGTAAAGTGTTTGCGGAATCCAATGATATATATGTGACAAACCATCATTGGTGTGTATGGTGTGTCATGAAATTGAGTGCGGGCTCGAGACTGTGATGCTGGTAATTATAGGGGTGGTACTGGGAATGTGGGTTGGGGTTAACTTGTACACTGTCAGCATAACTATTATTACTATTTCTAAGCAGTTAAAAAGTGAAATCAACTGACAACTAAAAGTAAAACAACTGTCCGGATATAATTTAAGGCACAAGGTATGAGTCCATCATAGTTAATCACAGGCGCTCTTTAAAGTGCTCTCTGTGCACTCAGTCATCCTAGTCACTACTAAACACATCCTTTGTGTTACCTACTCACATCACCTGTATCAAACTAATCCTCTAAATGACGTCATCTTCAACTACACAAATTTTCCTTAGGTCAGCTGGCCCTATACTACCGGGACTTGTGGGGGGAGTGAATGATCACTCTAAACACTCTCCCATGGGTATCGAGCACGCCTGTGGACCCATCCGTGATCAAGAGACAGGTAGACGGTGGAATACATCAGCTAACCCTGCCGCAGAGCGACAAACACCTGGTGTCTCTCCAGGGTCCCCAGACAATGGCGTGATGGCTCTTTTGTCTGTGGTTGCCCTGTACCTGATTCCGACAGCTGACACCACTCTCTACCTCCACATACATACTCTTTCATAACCCTTATACATCAATCCTTCCTCATTCGTCACACATTCAGGGTTCAAGCCGTGAGTTTAACTCCGTACATGCCACTCACAATCTAAGTTACTAATCAAATCTACCAATAATTAAAATACATATATGTACAGAACATATTAATCAAAATTCATTCATTAAATCAATTTCTTTTAAAAAGCCAATAATTAAATGAAAATTAACAGTGTTAAAAAGATCCTTAACTGTTTTCACATTGAAGTATTTACCCCTTATGATGGAGAATTCAACACAGTCAAGCAGGACATGCTTGACCGTGGTTCTCTCATCACAAGGGATACAAAACGGAGGATCCTCACCTTTCAATAGGTATGCATGAGTGCATCTAGTGTGGCCAATACGACATCGTCGCATGATGACCTCTTCAAATCTGGACTGACAACCCAAGTAGGTATAACCGATATAAGGTTTTATTTCATGTAATTTATTGTTACCTACTTGGTTGTCCCACTTCTTTTGCATCAGATCACGGATGTAAGTTCTAATGCAAGCTTTATAATCAGAATATGGAATAAGAAGTGGTGTCACAGATTTGTTGAGTGCTGCCTTGGCAGCAAGATCAGCCATTGTGTTCCCAGAAATGCCAACGTGGCTGGGTAACCAACAAAAGACGATGTCGCATTGTCCAGTAGCAAGATCATTATATAATTCGATTATTTCAATTAAAAGTGGATGTTTGCAAGAGAGATTTTTAATCGCCTGAAGGCAAGAAAGAGAGTCAGAAAATATTATATATTGTTTATGTTTGGGATGTCTTTCAATATATTTAAGAGCTGTTAAGATGGCGTTTGCTTCTGCTGTAAATATAGAGCTGTTATCCGGTATTCTAGAAGATATTGTTCTGGATCCAATGACAGTGGCACATGCCACTGCGCCACCATCCTTGGACCCATCTGTAAATAAGGATTTGTATGTATTATATTTATTCTTTAATAGATTATATTCTTGTTTATATTGTAATTCGTTAGTTTCAGATTTTTTAAACTTTGTCAGTGTTAGGTCAACTTGTGGCCTCACTAATTGCCAAGGAGGAGAAGAAAGAAGACGAGAAGGAGATATATTCTCCAACTCAATGCCAGCAGCAGAAATATATTGTTGGATTCTTATCCCAAGAGGTGGAACAAGTGAAGGTTTTTTATTATACAAGTCCTCATAAAGAGGATTAAAAACGCAAGTGTGAGCAGGATTGGATTCATTAGAATATAACTTTGTGATAGATTGTAGGGACAATTTGATACGGCGAAGTTTTAAAGATGGCTCATCGGCCTCAACGTAGAGACTGTCAATGGGAGAGGTTCTGAAAGACCCAAGACAAAGTCTTAGACGCTGGTGATGGATAGAATCAAGTAGTTTGAGGTTGCTTTTACAGGCCCCACCATATACGATAGAGCCGTAATCAAGTTTCGATCGGACCAGTGATCTATACAAATGAAGGAGGGTGGTTTGGTCCCTCCCACTTTGAACTGGAAACGACTTTCAACAAGTCGAGTGCCTTCAGGCATTTGGCTTTTAGATTTTGATATGTGGCAGAAAGGTTAAATGCGAATCAAAGATGAGACCAAGGAATTTAGCTTCCTTGAAAACTTTGATGGGTGTGCCATTTAATGATAATTCTGGATCTTTATGGGGTTTGTATTTCCTACAAAAATGTAGACAGTTGGTTTTGGATTTCGAAAATTTAAACCCGTTTTCAAGACACCATTTATGTATTTTGTTGAGACAAATTTGTAATTGTCTCTCAATAGTTCGCATGTTTTTACCACGGCAAGAAATATTAAAATCATCCACGAAAAGAGATCCATCGATTGAATCACTTAAAACCTTTGACAGACTATTTATTTTAATACTAAAGAGTGTGACAGATAAAATACTGCCTTGTTGGACACCCTGATCCTGATTGTAATGATCAGACAGGGTAGAACCCACGCGAACTTGAAATTGCCTGTCCTTTAAAAACTGTGATATAAAAAGAGGCAAACGGCCTCTCAATCCAAAATCGTGTAAATCTCTTAAAATACCATGTTTCCATGTGGTGTCATATGCTTTTTCTAAATCGAAAAAGATCGACACTGCATGTTGTTTTTTAATAATGGCATTTTTAATAAAGGATTCTAAACGCACTAAATGATCGATGGTACTTCTGTTTTTACGGAAACCACATTGAATGTCTGTTATAAGGTTATTAGTTTCCAAGTACCACACAAGTCGATTATTTATCATGCGCTCCATGGTCTTGCAAACGCAGCTAGTTAATGAGATTGGTCGATAATTCGAAGGATCAGTATGATCACGTCCAGGTTTAGGGATGGGTACAATAATAGCATCGTGCCATGAAGAAGGAAATTGTCCAGAAGTCCAAATATCATCAAAAATGTTTAAAAGGGTTTCTAAGCATGAATCCGGTAAGTTTTTCAGGAGCTGATAATGTATGTTATCAGCACCTGTAGCCGTATCATGAGCTTGATCAAGAGCAGTATGAAGCTCATGAATAGAAAACAGTTCATTGTAATCTTCCCCATTATCTGAAATGAAATTAATAGTTTTCTTTTCCTGTTGTTTTTTATAATTTTGGAATTGAGGTAAATAATTCGATGAGGAAGAGTGTTTGGCCAAAGTTTCTCCAAGTTTATTTGCAATATCAGATTGACTAGTTAATAATTCGTCTCCATCTTTAAGATGCTTAATGCTAGATTTAGAACCCTTACCTTTTATTTTCTGGATCATATTCCATACTTTTGATATCGGCGTTCGTGAATTTATTTGTGATACGTAATTTCGCCAGGATTGACGTTTATTTTGCTTGAAGGTACGCCGTGCCTTAGCATTTAAAATTTTAAATTTATTCAAATTATGGACCATAGGATGGCGACGGAAATAATTCTCAGCTTTCTTCCGTGCCTTCCTAGCCTGTTTGCACTCATTGTTGAACCATGGTTTTCGTATGTGTGGAATTGCAGAGGATTTGGGGATACACTCATCAGCAATATTAATTAGTTCATCAGAGAAATCCTTTATAGGATCAGTACATTCTATAAAGAGTTCGGGTTTAAGTCTGTTACAACACAGAGCTTGATACAACGGCCAGTTAGCTTTTTTAAAGTTCCATCTCGAATATGGAGTAATATCAGTTGGGTTTATAGGTTTTAGAATAGTAGGAAAATGGTCACTTCCACATAGGTCATCATGGACTGACCATTCAAATTCATTTAGTAATTCTGAATTCGTGATTGATAAGTCGAGAGCAGAATAGGTTCCTGTACCAGGGTGTAAATACGTGTTGGAACCATCATTATAAATTCATAAGTCATTGTCTGAACAAAACTCCTCCAGTAGTTTACCTTTAGCGTTTGTATTGACACTACCCCAGAGTGGGTTGTGCCCATTTAAATCTCCCATAATAATACAGGGCTTCGGGAGTTGGTCATATAGAGCTTGAAGATCAGTTTTGTGAAACGTTGAAGAGTGAGTGAGTGAGTTAATATTTAACGTCACATCGGCAATATTTCAGCCATATCGTGACGAGAACATTTTACATTGTAATGGAATATGTATATATTATAAAACCTGTCGTCGAAGGACAGTAAAGCAACTAGAGTATCACAGATATATATGTGTAAAACTAGTAATTAAATCTAAAACATTTTAACCATAGGGGACAACACAATCTAAAAATGGGCTATAGATCGCCAACAACTGAAGGTAGATCACCATACTAAGGCCCATGGGGGCTTACATTACTTTTGCTACCTGCATGGACCCTAGCTGGATTTACACCATCCCTTCAGCCATTGGCGTTTATACTGAGATTAAGCCATACATTAAAATGACAAAAATACTACGATTAAAAACCTGGTAGACTGAAATTTACTTGAAATGTTTTGGGACTTACGTACCCTCTCAGGAGGACAATAATTTTACGCTACGTCAACCCCCTTTGAGGGTACAGCCACTAACAATCTAAGTTGCTAATCTAAACTACCAATAATAAAATATATACCTATTTACAAATCCGTCAACAAATCTAATTTTTTTAAAAATGCAAGAATTAAATGAGAACTGACATTATTAAAAAGATCCTTCAGTGTTTTGGATGTGAAATAGATATCCCTTGTGATGGAATATTCGATGCAGTCAACCAAGACATGCTTGACTGTGATCCTTTCATCACAAGGGATACAAAACGGAGGATCTTCGCCTTTCAATAAATATTCATGAGTATATCTGGTATGGCCAATGCGACATCGTCGCATAATGACCTCCTCAAATCTGGACTGACAACCCAAGTAGGTGTAACCAATGTAGGGTTTTATTGCATGTAGTTTATTAATACCTACTTGGGTGTCCCACTTCTTTTGCATCAGATCACGGATATAAGATCTTATAGCAGCTTTGTAATCAGAGTATGGGATAAGAAGTGGTGTCACAGATTTGTTGAGTGCTGCCTTAGCAGCAATATCAGCCATCGTGTTCCCAGAAATGCCAACGTGGCTGGGTAACCAACAAAAGACGATGTCGCATTGTCCAGTAGCAAGCTCATTATACAATTCAATAATTTCTAATAAAAGTGGATGTTTGCAAGAAAGATTTTTTATAGCCTGAAGACACGAAAGAGAATCTGAAAAGATGATATATTGTTTATATTTACGGTGTTTATTAATATATTTAAGAGCTGTTAAGATGGCGTTTGCTTCTGCTGTGAAAATTGAACTGTCAT